GCCCCAGATGCATGCAATTTGTGAATGACAACAGCTCCACCTCTTACCATGGGATTCTTATTAGACTGCAGGTTCCTTGAGGGGAGGCCTCTGTCCTTGAATCCTTGCCTCATTCCACACTTACTAGTTGCTTATAAAATATCTATTTGTTGAATAAAATCAAGCTGAATTGGAACTGTTCTGGTGCTTAGAAAGCTTATAAGACACTGAGCCCTTTGGGGTTGGGCAAGGGGTCTCATCTGAATCTTTTCCTGCCTGTCATAGGCATTCATTAAACCCCACCCTCTTTGACATGGTTGCCCATTACTCTTCTTAACCTTTAGTTTCTGTGGGGCTATATTCCCCTGGTTTCCCTCCTATCTCCCTGACAGTGCTTCTGAATCTTCTTTGATAATTCGTCCTTTGCTATCGGATCTCTGAATGATGGCAGGCCTCAGGGCTTGGGTCTCCCTCCTCTCTGTACCTGCTACCTTTAATGTCACCTTTATGCTGACAATTCCAAATGTGTACCTTTAGCTCAAAAGCCACAGAATTTTGGTCTCCTATTTGATAATTTGGATGCCTTACAGGAACCCCAAAACTTAACACATTTAAAACAGAACATTTAATTTAAATTAGCCTTCTGCTACCTAAACCTGCCCCCCCCCCGCCGCGAGTCATCGCTATGCCATCAAATGTCACCACCTTCACACCAAAGTGGTCAAACCAGAAGCCCAACAATCATCCTTGATCCCTCCATTTCCCTGATCACTCATATAAAACCCATTGACAGGTCCTGTGAAAAGTCCCTCCTAAATAATTCTTTTAAAAATACATTTTTATTTATTGATTTGAAAGAGAGAGAAAAACATTGCTTACTTATTTATGCACTCATTGGTTGATTCTTGTATGTGCTCTGACTGGGGACTGAACCCACAACCTTGGCATATCAGGACAAAGCTCTAACCGACTGAGCTACCCAGACAGGCCCTAAATAGTTCTTGATTTCAATCATTTCTCTACATGTCACTGCCAAATAGAACAAGCCACTACTCTTTCCTGTCTGGACTTCAGCAATAAGCTTCTCAGTGATTATCCTGTTTTTCATTTTGTTTCTCTTTAGTCTCTACCCCATGTACAAGCCAAAGTCACCTTAAAAATATATATATAAATTGCACCATCTTGTTCCTTGCTTAAAACCTTTCAATGACTTCTCCTTGTACTTGGAATAAAATCCAAAATCCTTGCTGTTTCCTAGGAGACCCTGAATGATCTAGCCTTTGCCTATCTTCTTCCACTTGCCCCACACCACACAGACTACCCACACCCTCCTCCTCTTTATTTCTCACTTAAGCCAAGCTGTTTCCCTCCCTCTGCCTGGAACGCCTTCCCTAGCTCCTCAGATGCCTGGCTCCTCTCATGCCAGGTCTCAGCTCAAATGTCACCACTTAAGGACATCCATGATCACCCTCCTTCCCCATTATTCTCCAACACTGACCACTGTTTGTTCACGACACTAGTAGAAGTTGTAATTTTACAGGTATACATTTATTTGTTTTCTTATTGTCTGTCTTTTTTTATTGGACTCTAGGCTCAAAGAAGAGAGGAACAATGAGTAGTACCTTGTTCTCCATGTGGCCCAGTATAGTGTCTGGCAGATATAATGCATTCAATAAATACATGTGGGGAGAAAGAAAATAAATACAGAAATACATGTAAAAAGGAAGGGGAAAAAAAAAAGAGAGAGAAAAGAAGGGGGAGGGGAAGGAAGAGGAAAAGGAGGAGAAGGTAGGGGAGAAAAAAAGAATGGGATAGATGGATGAAAGAGAAAGAGAGGAGAAAGGAAGAGAGGAGGGAGGAAGAAGGTCTTTTAGACCAGCATCATCCTAAAGATAGATGCTTAGAGTAATGGAGCAGAAAGAGGAGGCAAGGAGAAACTACCCAAAGTTTTCCTCCTTTCCTCCCTCCCTCCCTCTCTGCCTTCTCTACCTTGTGCCAGGTGGGTCATAAATTATTTCAGCTACTCACCTTTCACAGCCCCAGGGAAAGGTGTAAACACTTCATTTTATTGGTGAGAAAAAAGAGGCTCAGCAAAGTTAAGGGCTTTGCCCAAGATCTCCCAGCTGGTTCTGAATGTGAGGAGGCCACCTTGTCCCCACTACTCCACAGTGTCATGTGGCCTGTCAACCATACTTTTAATTTTCATATTTCTTTATTAAATGCTATTTGAAACGAACTTGTTAGGAACCACCTTGGACTACAGAGCAGACTGGAATTGCTGACCAGTTTCAGTGCAAAGCAGAGGGGCAGCCCCCATCCACCGGACAGTCACGGCCTAGTGAAGCTGAGGTTGATTGAAGGACTTTAATGAGGAAGGAGGCATCAGTTTCCATGGTGTGAAACAACAAGACTTTGGCAGCTAAGACTCCCTGCCAGCCCTGGGCACCTCAGTTTCAAACAAGACAGTAAGTATTTGTATATTACTCTTGTCTTCAGATGTTTACTGCAGTTACTGTAGATCATTCATATTTATTAGAGCTTATAATTACTGGCTACTTTTTTACATTGAGACACCTGAACCAGGAAGATAGAAATTCAAGTGCACTTAAATATACAGGGATTCATGTGAAGGGAAATTTGCTAAAGTTTAGTAGTCGGTGGTAGGCTTGTGAATTGTATGTTTTCTACAAATAACTTTGTGGTGTTTTTTTTTAAGAAAGCATCTAATTTATAGTATGCTTTATTTTTTCAAACAGCTTTGTTGAGTTATAATTTACATAACATAAAATTCTCCTTTTTAAAGCACACAATTCAGTGATTTTTAATGTATTCAAAGTTATAAAAGTATCACCCTCCACTATTTAATTTTAGAACATTTCATCACCACAAAGAAAAATCTTGTACTCCTTCCCAGTCACTTCCCACCCCGCCTCATTCCAGCCCGAGGCAACCAATAATCGACATTCAATATAGATTTGCGTATTCTGGACATTTCACATAAACGGAATCATACAAACATGCGAGCTTTTGTGATTGGCTTCTTTCACTTAGCCCGTTTTCAGGGGTCATCCTTGTTGTCGCATGTATCACCACCTCATTCTTTTTATTGTCAATTAATATTCCTTGTATGAATATCCCACATTTTATTTGTGCATTTATCCATTCATGGAAATTTGGATTGTTTGCACTTTAGGGCTAGTATTAATAATGCTGCTGTGAACATTTATGTACAAGCTTTTATGAGGACATATGTTTTCATTTCTTTTAGGTATATACCTAGGATTGGAGTTACTGGTCATATATAATTGCTCTATGTTTACCTTTTAAAGAACTACCAAACTGTTTTCCAAAGTGGCTTCCCCATTTCATATTCCCACCACAGTATATGAGGGTCCCAATTGCTCTACATCCTTACCAACACTTGTTATTACTTGCCTTTTTTATTATAGTTATTGTAGTGGGTGTGGAGTGGTGTCTCATTATGGTTTTGATTTGCATTTGCCTAATGACTAATGGGGTTGAGCACCTTTTCGTGTGCTCATAGGCTATGTGCATATTTGTTTTGGAGAAACTTCTGTTTATATTCTTTGACCATTTTTAATTGGCTTATTTGTTTTTTTATTGTTAAGTTCTAATGGTTCTTTATATTTTTTGGATACAAATTTCTTATCACATATATGATTTGAAAAGATTTTCTCCCATTTGGTGGTTGCTTATACTTTCTCAAAGGTATCATTTACAGAACATAAGTTTTTAATTTTAGTGAAATACAGTTGATTTAATTTTTTCTTTTGTTGCTTGTGCTTTTATTGTCCTATCTATGGACCATTGCCTAACCCAGGGGTGGGGAATGTCCAGCCCATGGGCTGCATAAGGCCCGCATAATCGTTTGGTTTGGCCCTGTCAAGACATTAGGGGTGAGTTAATTAAATGTTTGACCCAATCTAGCAGACTAATTTTTAAGTTGATAATTTTGTATGCTCCGAGATGATGTTAAGGCCCTGTCAAGACATTAGGGGTGAGTTAATTAAATGTTTGACCCAATCTAGCAGACTAATTTTTAAGTTGATAATTTTGTATGCTCCGAGAATGATGTTAAAAATATCCAAGCGGCCCTTGGCAGAAAAAAGGTTCCCCACTCCTGGCTTAACCCAATGTGATGGAGAGTTACCACCATGTTTTCTCCTAACAGTTTTAGTTTTAGGACATATATTTAGGTCTGTGATATATTTTAAGTTAAGTTTTGTATATGACAAGAGGTAGATGACCAACTTCATTCTTTTGGATATCCAATTGTGTTAGTACCATTTAGAGACTATTCCCCACTGAATTTTCCTGGCACTTTTGTTGAAAATCAATTATTTGACCATAAACATAATGGTTTATTTCCGGACTCTCAGTTCTATTCCATTTCTCTATGTCTACCTTTTTGCCACACAGCATACTTTGTACCACACTGTCATGATTATTGTATCTTTGTAGTAAGTTTAAAAATCAGGAAGTGTGAATCCTACTTTGTTCTTTTTTTTTTTTTTTCAAGATTGCTTTGGCAATTCTGAGTCCTTTGCATTTGAGCTTTTAGGATCAGTTTGTTAATTTCTCTGCAAATAAATTTAGCTACCTACTCATTGAGAACGTCTACTTACATTATAAGTTATCCATGGGAAGTTGTGGAATTTCCTTGGTGTGAACTCAAATGTGGAACAAATGGGGCTAATTTAAGTGTAAACCTGCTTGCAGGTTTGTGTGAATGGCAAGCAAAGAAAGAGGCTCCCACGCACTGATTCTAAAAATGGTTTGGCTTTCTGTGATACCTGCAGGGTAGAAGCTGTCTAGTACCTCTGTTCACCATGTTATCTTATCATTGATCGAATGCTCCAGTATAAGGGTTTTCTACTAAGACAAACAAGCCACGAAGATAAAATCCTGTGTCATCTTCTGTTACCTAATGTACATACTCAGCACCCACTTCATGCACAAAGGCCCGTCCTTGTCCTTCGCACTCAGACATGCTGAACCACTTTGGGCTGAGGCCCAGGCATCTGTTGTTTACACCCACCAGGGAGCCAGCCAGACTGCCTCTGCCTTACTTTAGGTCTCGCCAACGCCTGTGGATGCAGAGACATTGCCACTCAAATGTGGTTTGTGAACTACTAGATGCTCTGGGGAACTTGTTACAGGCCCATCCCAGTCCAGCTGAGTCCGGATCTGCATTTTAACAAGATCCCAGATGCTTTACATACACCAGAGGTTGGTAACTACAGGCCAAATCTGGCTCCCTCCCTGTTTCTGTAGGCGCATGGTCACCACCTGTGGAGGTGGGCCTCACTGGGCAAGTACGGTGAGCCTCTGAGAGCCAGCTGAGGTCACTCTCTGTGCCTCCCATACCCTCTCTACTCCCAGCACATTCCTCCTGACCCCGCTGCTGCGCTGCCCAGGGTCCTGCTGGTCACCACCTACACCTTGAGGACTCTGCTATTGGCAACTGCAGGGCACTGAGTAGAATCATAATCCAGTCGAGTTGCCTTGCCTCCTGCCAGCTACCAACTTGTGACAGTCAGGCTCCTGGAGAGGAGAGAGAGCATGCTGGCATCTGGGCGTCACCGGCCAGTGAGTGACCTTCCCACAGGCCAGGCCCCTCCCACTCTGGCAGGTTGCCCTGAGAATGTCTCAGGCTGAGGGCTGGCGGTCAATAAGCATGCTCACCCACCAGCACCAGCCCTTCCTCCCCCAGGAAGGCCCCTCCCCCATAAACAGGGCAGGAGTTTTTCTTGTTACCTAACCGTCTTGATTTTGCCTGGTGGTCTACAGAGCCTAAAAAAACGTCCTATTTCACCTTTTTCAAGAGAAGTTTGTGGTCTACACATTAAAGGTGGAGCTACTTGCACGTTGCAGAATGTGCCTGAGCTGGGACCCTCCACCACTGTCAGTGCCCAAAATGACTCTTATTCATCCTTCAGGGACCCGGCTTACGTTGTTTTCAGAGAGAAGTGCCTTTTACTTCCTAGTGTTGGTGAGAGGTCCTTTCCTCTGTCTCCAGAAAGTCCTCGCCATCCTAACACATTGGGCTTGCTTGTGGATTATGGTACTTCCTTCTCTTCTCTCCCACTCTGGAACGGCCCTCATACGTCCATGCACATCGGACTCACCTGAGGACCCACTATGACACAGATTGCTCCTCCCACCCCAGTTTCTGACCCACTAGGTCTGATTTGGGGCCCAATCATTTGCATTTCTAGAAGGCCCTGGGTGCTGCTGCTTCTCGAGATCTCACTTCAGTGTTGAGATGGAAGAGACATTTTTAACAGCCCCTTCTCTAGGGGCTCTTTTATCATTCCTTTTTCCTATATCTCAGCCCCTTTTTTGTTATATCGGTAATTCTCATACTTTTCTGTCTCAGGACTTTACACTCTTAAAAATTACTGAGAATCCCAGAGGGAAGTTTTTTTGTTTGTTTTTTAAATATTTTTAATGATTTTAGACAGAAAAAGAGAAGAAGGGAGAGGGAGAGAGAGAAAGAAACAACAATCGACTGCCTTCTACACACCAACTACTGGGGATTGAGCCCGAAACCTGGGCAGGTGCCCTGACCGGGAATCGAACCAGTGATCTCTCAGTGCATGGGATGATGATCAACTGAGCCACACTGGCCAAGGCCCAGACAGGGGTTTTTAAAATGTGGATTATAGTTATCAATAATTACTATATTAGAAATTAAAACTGAGAACATTGAAAAATGTTTATTAATTCATTTGCAAAAATCATAAGCCTACAAGATAATAAAATACTGTAATTTTTATGAAAAATAACTTTTCTAAAACAGTGTGAGAAGAGTGGCATTGTTTTGCTTTTTTTGGTCAAATCTCTTTAATATTTGGTTTAATAGAAGACACCTGTACTCTATCTACTTCTGCATTCAGTTTGTTGTTCTGGTTGAAATACGTAAAGAAAATATGGTTTCACAACGTATATGAAGTTGAAAAAGGGAGGAGTATTTTATACCCTTTTCAAATATTGTGAATATTTTTCTTTGATATACACCAAAACTGGACAAGTGGGAGTGCTTTAAATGTTATGTGGAATCTGAAATTGTCTGTGTGTTTTCCATACTCTAAACTAAAGTTCATTACACTGAAATCCATTGGCCTGTTTGGAATAGATCCCTGTACCCATGCATTTGCTAATATCATACACTTGTTTTACAGAAAATACTGGTTGACAGAGTTCTGCAGACATTCCAAACGTTGATATATTTCATTATTTTTTAATTCCTTTTACTAAGTCATGTAATCAAGAGTAAAAATTTGATAAAAATGAATAATTCTTACTGCTTTAGTTTCTTTACTGAAACTAGCTTTTTTATTCTTTAAAATGCGTGTGTGTGGTGGTAAAGGATACCATGACTACTAGTCCAGCCTGGGCCACTGCCCACTTCTGCCCCTCTTCGTGCTAAGGCGCCTGCAGTTTTCTACACCTTTGTTTGTGAACCATCAGGGCAATTTTCAGTACAGTGTACAAAGCCAATGACATTTTAATATTATAATGAAAGTAGTTTTGACCTTATGGACTTCCTAAAAAACTCTCAGGGCTTCCTAAGCATCTATAGACTATAATTGGAGAACGGTTGGTTTATGTCTTAATGCTGTAAATAATTTAGCCATTTTATTTGTATGTTTATATATTGTCTACCTCCTGAATTGATGGAATAATAGTATTTAATTTCCACAGAGTATACGTTCTGTGTCCAGAATAAGCTTTTCACATGGATTGTCACTGTATCCTCACAGCAACCCTGGCAAGTTACACCCATTCTACAGATGAGGAGCTTAAGGCACAGAAATACACAATCAGATCAGTGTCACGCTACTAGCCCTGGAAGGTGGTTTGAGACCAAAGAACAAATTCCAGCCCCTGACTTTAGCCTGGAGTTCTGTAGGCAGAGGAGAGCCATTGATAGTTTTGGGCAGGTGACTGGCATGCACCAACCACAGTAGCTAAGATCTAAAATGTACACTCCGCAGAGCACACACATGAAACAACCCTGGATGCAAATTTAGGGTAAAGAATCCTCACTAGGAGTAAAGGGTTGTAGATAATTTCCTAAGTGGCATGTTTTCCCACAGGTTTTTGTCATGGAATTAACGAGAATGTCAGACATGACAAAGCTCCATCAAGCTGTGGCTGCAGGGGACTATACTCTAGTGAGAAAGATTTTGAAGAAAGGTCTCTGTGACCCTAACTACAAGGACGTGGACTGGAATGACCGAACCCCACTTCACTGGGCTGCAATCAAAGGTGAGTGGGCAATGCCAAGCAGAGTCCATCCCCTGCAGTCTATTGTTCATGAAGGTACCGATCAGCATCTGTGAGGGGTAGCCGGAAGAACATTTCTTTTTTTAATCCTCAACCAAGGATATCATTTTTTATTTGTTTTATTGATTTATTTTTAGAGAGAGAGGAAGGGAGAGAGAGAGAGAGAAAGAGAAAAAGAGAGAGAGACATCGATGCCCGATGGAAATTTTTTATTTGTTTTATTGATTTATTTTTAGAGAGAGAGGAAGGGAGAGAGAGAGAGAGAGAGAGAGAGAGAGAGAAAGAGAGAAAGAGAGAGACATCGATGTCCGATGGAACATTTCAATCTGAGCACCACCACTTACTAGTTGTAGCACCTTGACAAGTTATTTAATGTCTCTAAGCCTTAGTTTATTCATCTACATAATGGGAACAATAATGCTATCTTAGAGTCTTGTAGTGAGGACTCAGTGAGATAATGGGTATACAGTGCCCAGCACATAGTCTACTCTCAATTAATATTAATCCTCTGCCCTCTTGACCTCTAGCAGGATGGGAGCATTATTCCTGTAGTAGGACAGGGACTTCGTCTGTTCATTGCTGTATCCCCCATGCCTAACGATGGCTTAGTTATAAAATTGGAGGAGGAAAATGGCAAAAATTCAACAATGGCCTTGTCAAGGCCTTTGGCAATAGAATACCATTGAACTTTGAAAAGTGTTAAGTAAGAAAGTATTATAGTCCACTTTGCTTTCTAAAAATATGTTTTGTTCCTGTATGCAGAATGGATTGGCAGGAAGCAAGACTGGCTGCAGAGAAATCAGGTTGGAGGATTTTGTAGACATTTAAGTACAATGTCATGGTAGCTATACTAGGGCACCTTTTAGCAAACATTTGTCATAGGCTGAGTACTGTGCTATGTACTTTAGATCAATGATTTCATTTGTACTTCACTAGAACTCAGTGAGGTAAGTAGTGATATCCTTTATTTACAAATGAGAAAACTGAGCCTTAGACATCTGTTGCTTGTCCAAGGTGCCATAGTTAGTAAGTGGTGTTTATCGCCAGGCATGAACCCCCATCTATCTGGCTAGAAAGCCTGTATAATTAATCTTTGCTAGCTATATTGTAAGTGAAACTTCAAATATTTTTAATTGAGGTATAATTGACATAACATTATATCAGTTCCAGGGGTGCAACATAATAATTTGATTTTTATATATATTGTGAAATGATCACCACAAAAAGTCAAATTAACATCCATCACCACCCTTAGTTATAAATTTTTTTTCTTGTCATAACTTTGAAGATCTATCTTAGCAACTGTCAAAGAGGCAGCACAGAATTATTATTTTTTAAAATATATTTTTATTGATGTCAGAGAGGAAGGGAAAGGGAAAGAGAGAGAGAAACATCAATGATGAGAGAGAATCATTGATTGGCTGCCTCCCTCATGCCCCCCACTGGGGATCGAGCCCGCAACCTGGGCATATGCCCTGACCAAGAATTGAACCCGCGACCTCTTGGTTCCTGGGTCGACGCTCAACCACTGAGCTACACCCGGCTGGGCAAGAATTATTAACTACAGTCACCATGCTGTACATTACATCCCCATGACCTTGTAAATTGCAGAATCCATTTATCTTTGGATCTCCCATGGCAGTAGTTGGCAAACCGCGGCTCGCGAGCCACATGCGGCTCTTTGGCCCCTTGAGTGTGGCTCTTCCACAAAATACCATGTGCGGGCGCGCATGTACAGTGCAATTGAAACTTCGTGGCCCATGCGCAGAAGTCAGTATTTTGTGGAAGAGCCACACTCAAGGGGCCAAAGAGCCTCATGTGGCTTGCGAGCCGCAGTTTGCCGACCACTGCTTAACCCATTTCACACATCTCCCACAGCTGGAACCCACCAATATAATCTGTTCTCTGTACCTATGAGCTTGGCTTTTGTTACTTAGATTCCACATATAAGTGAGATCATACGGTATCTGTCTGACATGTCTTTCTCTATCTGGCTTAGCAAAATGCCCTCAAGGTCCATCCATGCTGTAGCGAAATATTTGTTTTTGAAATCAGCCTGGAGACTGCCAAAAGCAGGGAGCTTGCCAGTGCCAACATAGGCAGGGGTAGAGTGACTTGGGAGAGAAAGCAAGATTTCTAGGCAGGGCTGGGAGGGGAGTGTCTGGGAGGGAGTAGAGGGAATATTTAGAGGGCCTCAGCCCCTGGGTGAGTGAGAGCTTGGTTCCTGGGGGTAAGGGTGGGGTACTGAGAGGAAAAAGGGAGGAGGGAATGATGCTGAGCAGCTGGAGGGGCCTCAAAGGCCAATGTCTTCCCCTCTTTTGTGCTATCTAGACCAGGGGTCCTCAAACTACGGCCCGTAGGCCACATGCAAATACAAATATTGTATTTGTTCCCGTTTTTTTACTTCAAAATAAGATATGTGCAGTGTGCATAGGAATTTGTTCATAGTTTTTTTTTAAACTATAGTCCGGCCCTCCAACGGTCTGAGGGACAGTGAAGTGGCCCCCTGTTTAAAAAGTTTGAGGACCCCTCAATTCTAGACTAACCGTGGCCTTGGGCCAGCGGAGACATTTTCATCTTAACCTTCTCTTTCTTCTTGGTGCATGTAAGGGCATATGGAGGTGATGAAGCTCCTCATACAGTGTGGAGCCAGACCCTGCCTGGTAACTGATGTGGGCTGGACCCCAGCTCACTTTGCAGCTGAGTCAGGCCATCTGCCTGTGCTCAAAATGCTCCATGCATTGCACGCCGCCATTGACGCCCCCGACTTCTTTGGAGACACGCCGAAGAGAATCGCACAGATCTATGGGCAGAAAGCCTGTGTCGCATTCCTGGAGAAGTAAGTTCCATTTCTTCCCAACTCTAGGAAGGGCAGGGAAAGAGGAGCTTGTGATCAAGTCTTTGCTGACTCAGTGATCTCAGGTCGATGAGAATAAAATGAAGAAATCCAGGCAACTATTGTTTGAGGTTTTTTTAAAATATATTTTTACTGATTTCAGGGAGAGATAGAAACATCAATGATGAGAGAGAGTCATTGATCAGCTGCCTCCGCATGCCCCACACTGGGGATCGAGCCTGCAACCTGGGCATGTGCTCTGACCAGGGATCAACCACTGAGCAACACCAGCTTGGGCCACTTTTGCACTTTTGAAAAATGCCTGACCCTGGAAGATTGGGAGAACTCCACAAATATGCATTGAATAAGCGAGCACACAAGGTTGCAATGAAATCAGCATACTCATACACTACCGGTGGGAGTGTAAATGAGTATACTCTTTAGAGAAAGCAATCTGTCAATATGTATCAAAGATTTTTGTTTAGTTTAGTTTTAATTTTGTTTTTGTTTTGGTTGAATAATTCTATGTGTATGAACCCATCCCAAGGAAAATATCAAAGAGAAGAACAAAAATGTATACATAAGGATGCCACCTGTCACAGTATGATTTTACTAGTATGTTTGGGCATCCTCCATATACCATGGATCACAGCTTGAGTTGCTTCAAGCCTGCATAAAACACTTGTGCTCTGTAGACCCCGTGTTACGGGTAGGAATACCTGACAGGGAAACAAAAGAAACAATAAATCAAAACAAGGTGTAAAAAATCAGGTGTCATCTCAATCAAAACCAGTTGCCCTGCAGCTCATTAATATTTCAAAAAGTTGAGACCCTGCCACTCAGCACAGGTCTGGTCAGGTCAGGCCTTAGCCTCCCACTATCCTGGTGATCTCCGCTAATCTCAAAATCAAATGGCAAGCAATTAGCAATTAAAGCATCTTAAAGGAACAGGTAATGTTGCAGGCTAAGGCAGCACAGTGGAAAAGAGAATAAGTTCACTTTAGGGCTTTCTTTTAAAACTCACAATCTTCTTGAGTCAGGACTCTCCAGGATTTGCAACTCATCACCAGCTAAGATTCTCCACCACAAATGACAAGCATTCTCTAGGGATTAATTGTTCCCTTATTCTCCCCAAACCACTGAAAAGCTGCTGAATTTACTGCAAGTCTTCTATAAATCCTACTTTCCTGCAGGTTATAAGATACAAATATTCTCTCAGGAGTGCAATCAGAAGGATTCAGCTTTAAAAGAAAAAAAAATGAAGCTCTGCCTAGCTGGTGTGGAACAGGGGTTGAGTTTTGACTTGTGAACCAGGAGGTAATGGTTCGATTCCCGGTCAGGACACATACCCAGGTTGCAGGCTCCATCCCTAGTGTAGGGCATTCAGGAGGCAGTCGATCAATGATTCTCTCTCATCACTGATGTTTGTATCTCTCTCTCTCTCTCTCTCTCTCTC